AGGAGAGAGAGAGAGAGAGAGAGAGAGAGATTTATGATCGCCTAGAATGCCACGAATGGGGTGCAACGTTACGTTTGCTTACTTTTACTATTATCTTTAATATGTACCACTACCACAATGTCACTTGCAGCTATGTCGTTGGGAATACCCTTAGCTTTGCACAGCATGTCATGTATGAGTCAGGCGCTGTTGTTTTCGCCCGGGCGTGTATTGTAGTGCTCTGTGGTTGTGGTGGCCCACCACAGCCCAGCACTTGGGCACATGCCAACACCCCTAACAACAACAACAGGTTGTGGTATCAGCTAGCAGTGGGCCTGTGCGCAATCAGCTGTGCGGCGGGATCAGCTGTGACTGACTGAAACACCCGTCTTTTATCTGCTGGGCATACAGATCTAGAGGGTTTTTTAAACACATGTAACGATAAGTTTCTTTCACTGGTGTATGTGTTTTTGGTTGGGTTTTTTTTTTTCAAACGTCTTTTTTACCGCCTTTAAATTATACCCTGTTGATCCGGTATTAATCTTTTCGACGCCACAGCGATTTTGATTACGGTCCGTTTTGATTACAACTATACTTTGTGACAATTTATTTTCCTGTATGAATCAATAACAACACAAAAGCATTCAGAAGATTGCCTTATGTCCCTTTATGAGTTATTGTGCCAGGCGAGTTGTCTCGATAAAGGCCCCCCCATTGAGCCAGGAACAAATGGGGACTGGTTACACTGAACATTCAGGTATAGATCGCACTGTATTTATCACCCTGACACTACTTGTGTAAACACTTTACACACTAGCTGGTATGGCAGCCTGAATTCGTATCGATGCGTAATCGAGGAGTCAAAGTTTGTTTGTTTGTTTGACAATGCGGGGTTTGGTGTGTTGGGGGTCGGGGCTACGGCATAGCAAGCTTAGAGAATAATAATATTAGGCTCGTTTTGGGCTGTAGTGTGGTCTGCTGTGTGTTTCTTTTTTATATGGCTGCTGTCTTTTTATTTATTTTTTTACTTCCTGCCTGGTATGATATAATATACTTATCATCATCATCATTGGTATTTTTATCTGTCGCACACAGACCTTCAAAATGTAAGAAAAAGTTGCTGAGGCTAGAAAACTATTGTTTGCAGTGCTAATGTAAAACGTCTGATAGCTTCATTCTGATATATTTTTTTCTGTCAACTGACAACTCATTAGTCGTCGGCAGCCAGCCAAGTTTTTCGTTGTTGTTGTTGTTGTTTTTGTTGTTCGATTTGTTGTTTTGATCGTGTTTTCCATACTGTATTTATACTTATTGCAGTGGGTAAAACTCTTAGATATCGGCACGGTAGAGAATGGCTTTCTGTCCGCAATATGGGTCAGGAGACAATGATGTGTTAGTATCATAAAATGGATTTTGACACGCCGGCGTGTTTGGGATAAACCTCCGTGCAGTGAAGGATTTAAATAAGAAAAAAGTCGGTCAGAGGTTAAGTTACACCTTCAGCAAGTGCAGAGACCTGTGCTGAGCGCTGTTAGGAAGGAGGTGGGGACTCAGAGGGAGAAACTTTTGGACTTGAGCCAGATCGTCATGAAAATTTGTGATTGTGGGTAGACGTGGTGTGTGTGTGTGTGTGTTTGTGTGGGTGTGTATGTGCGTGTATGTCATGTGTGTGTGTGTGTGTGTGTGTCTGTCTGTCAGTGTGTGTGTGTCTGTCTGTCTGTCGGTCGGTCTGAGTGCACGAATGAGTGCGCGCTGGTGTGTGTGTGCGCGCGCTCAATCGTCGGTGAATACACGGCGTTCAGTTGCCTGCCAGTGCGTCTGCGTGTGTGTTAAGTGTTGTGAGCGAGTGTTTGCGAGTGTGTCTGCCTGTATGTATGTGCGTGTGTGTTTGTGTGGGAGTCTGATCATGTCGACAGGGTCATAAAACACTAATTTAATTACAAGCTTGCCTAGAGTAAAGGAAGTCACATCAACAATAACGGCTATTTAGTTCTGGGAAAAGCAAGACAAACAGGCAAAAACAACAGAGAAGAAGGAAGGTAAAGAAGTCGGACTCACTATTGGCGTCCTCCACCTACCAACGAGAAATTGTGACAGAATTGTGGGGTGTTTTTTTTTAGTTTACTTTTGATGAAAGTTTTTCTACACTTGCAACACAAATAGTCATATAAGTGCCAAAGCTTAAAGGCATTACAAGAGAAGAGAGTAACATACAAAGAAAAGAGGGAGAAGTACGGACGATAGATGTTTGATATGAAAGGAGCAAACCACACCAGAGGACTCACCAACCACCTTCGGGTTCAAACGCACCAAATAAAAAAAGTCACTGTATTAAAAAAAAAGCGAAAAAGGTTGAGACAGACCAGTTACAATTATTACACGTCTGCCACCTTAAAAAAAACAACAACAACCGGACTCAGTGTATGCACCGATTCAAGATGGTGGGCACTGGATAAGTAACCCTCCTCCAAAAACCTTCAAACACACGTTTCTGCAAGCAATAAATTCAAAATATTCCAAGCAGACACGAAACAATATCAGATTGAATGTTTACTACTGTAACCACCCGATTGAAATTGGCTTAAGGCCTTCGTTCTCAAAATTATTTGCAAATCCCCCTTTGAAAGTTCAGAATTTTTCTTCAGCATCGGCAAGTCCACGAGGAGAAATACTAGAAAACAATATTTTCCGGCACAAAAACATTCTTACACACTCAGACTCTCAAGAGGCGTCCGCAGCCCGCTGGTTGGTTACGCTAGCGGACTCGTAATTGTGAGGTTGTGGCTTTGGCAGTTTGAGCCTCAGCTCGGTCCAACGTTGTGTCCTTGGGAAAGACACTTTTACACAAATTTCCCATTTGGTTCGGTCCTTTCGGAGATGGACGTTAAACTCAGAGGTCCTGCCTCTTTAATAATCTAATTGTGTTGATAGAGGCGTTAAACCGACACCATTTTCAGACCCTCAAAAGCGTACTAAATACGTTTTTGATGAACTGGTCGGCAGCTACAGTCCAACCTGCTCTAACGGCCACCTGTATAAGACAACCACCCGTACAAACGGTCACTTCCCATTTCCTCCTTTGCGTATTTGCTACATTAAAGTGACACTGTGTAAGACAACCGCCTATTTAAGAGGACTACTTTCCTCCTCAACAATTTGTGGCCGTCTTAAACAGTTTGGAATGTATTTAATCTATCAAAATTCTAACTACAGATCCGCTTACCGGCATGAGCACGGTGGACTTGGATTTGAGACAGCGCTCTGCCAGGACCACGATGGGGGGCGACAGCACGGCGTTCTGGTTGAGATCAAAGAGTTGTGCGAGCACGGGCAGGTAGCTGAGGTAGGTGATGCGGGGCGGCGCCCAGGACAGCTTGTCCAGGATGTACAGCTCCATGCGGCACAGGTCGTGGCGCGTCCACTCGTGGCCCGGCAGCTGGGCCAGGTCGTGAGGGCTGGGGATCACCTGGACACGACACACACTCAATTAATATCATCTGTCAGTGTTTTACGGCGCTCGCAACTGTAGTATAAGGTCATATGAGCGCGCGGGACACATTAAACATTTTCAGTAGGAAGGACATTTTGAAGTTTGCCCGGGTGGCGGCCGAAGCCTACTCTTATCGATTTTAGACCACCAAGGGATCTTTAACGTGTGCAACTTGCACGTGAGACCTCCGAGATTTTTCGCGCCCTTGTCCTAGAAGGCTAGGAATAGATCTTTCCTACCATAAGATCACGGGTGTGGCTGAAAGACAGCAGTAAGAAGGAGCCAAGGAGGAGCAGTAGAAAGGCTGCAGAAAGAGTCAGGAGCCCAGACGAGAGAGCAAAGGAAGTGAGGGGGTGGGTGCAGAAAATGGAGACGAAAGCAAACGATAAAACATTGCAAGAGAGCATGAAAGGAGGTGAAAGAAGACAACTCTAGAAAAGAAGTTTTTTTCCCGTCGCTATCCGGATTCGAAACAGCGACCTTTAAATGAGAGGTGAACACATTAACCTCTATGCCACGAGAGCCTCCAATCATCTGTCTATTCAGCTTTCGTTTTAATAACCATTTTAAGGCACTTGCAACACAATTAGGTAATATAAGGCCTAGTGCCGAAGAGGTGTTACAAGAGTGTTCCCACTCAGGAATCGAACTCGGGACTCTTGCATGAGACAGCGAAGCGCCAGTCCACTACACTACAGATGCTGGTATACTTATTAGAAACTACT